AACTACTCATAATTAGGTAGAAAATCACATAACACGTTTTCACATGCAGTTGTTGACTTGGCAATGCACATGCTAGAGTAGTTGTCGGAACGTTTACAAAAACGTTCGCGACTATCGGCGCTTCGTTCCGATAAGGTTCGGGTCCTTCCCATTGTACTCTATTATTCTCTTTTCTATGGTGAAGCTATGCTGAAGCTTTCTCTCAACACCTAGAAAAGTTCTACAAGGCAAGCCAACACAACTTCGTGCCTCAATCCCTAGTGCATATTTCGTGACGAGACCCCCGTGCCCACATTTTTGTGCCCCCATCTCCCGAAAACTAGAAATCTCCGCAAATCCTTCCACAGAGCAACCCGGACTGCTCATGCTTCTACCACTGATTGTGTTGCTCGTACATCCAGCCATTCGATCGTACGTCAAGGCGTTGGCATAAGCGTTACAAGTAACACCCAAGAAAGTAGTCCACGTTCCACAAAATCAATCATGCTGCTGTAGGTGCAGCTCCAACTGCTGCTATTCTTGCGGTTTTTTATACCCCCATCACCATCTACCATGTAAACTGCTGCTTTGACCAGAACAGCTTGTGGAAGGTGTTATTGCTGTGGCTGACAGCGCTGCAAATGCTGCTGGGTGTGGGACATGTGCAACAAACGAGAATATTTGAATTCCACGCTCGGCACCTGCATCCTCAATGCGGCGAGATCAGAACCTGGTGGTCCCATCCAAGCATCGCTTTGAATAACTGGTTCATGCATGGCAGGTTGGAGGTCGCCAGAACTAGCACAAGTTTCAGTAAGGAAAATTATTGAACAAGTTCAGTACAAGCAAGATTCGACAAATATATTAGAGCAAAGAAACCCTGCATAAAAGTTCCAAGAGGAACGTTTAACTAACTACCAAGCATGTGCCTTGACCTAGCAATAACAGGTGAAAATAAAACAAGCCCATGTATTTCTCACCTAACTAAGTAGTTGCCGAGGTTGTACACCATGCACATGTGTGCACGTTTTTGTGGTTACAAAAATGTGTAGCAGGTTCTCTTTTTGCTGCTGGTTCATTTTCTCCAGGGGGTACAATTTCTGACAGGATATTAATGGTCAAAATTCATGCGCCCTCATTGGTCGCAATTTGCGCACATTGAATTTCTCGCCGAAACTAAATCGTGCGTCCGTGTGGGTGCGCAGGGGTTGCCACGGCCCTGCGAAGATGAATTCCCACGAACCTCTGCACCAACTGCGCCCCTTGAACCTGCGCACGAGATGTTTCCGTTGCATCTGCAGATGCTACAGTTGATCGTGCACGGGTTCCCTCGTACACCCCGTGCACAGGCAGCCCTTCACTTCGTACAAGAGGTCCTTTGCCCTACGCATGGAGGGCTCTTCTTAACACTTCCCTGCCCTGCTAGCTCATGGACATGAAGGAGGTTCACAATCTGCAAAAGGAAACTAGCTATCGTAGAGTATATGGTGACAAAATGAACTTTGTCAGCGCATTCGTCGTCGCGCATCATCTCACCGCACCAGCCATGTTGAAAGACATGGTGCCTACTTCTGCACATCGTCGTTGCCGTCGCCGACTTCAACCAGACAAACTTGGCCGATCGTGACGGAGCACCGGTTGAAGGCCAGAAAGTGCAATGCCCTCGTCAGGAAGTCGGTCGGCTGCTCGTTGGTCGGGATGTCCCTCGCTTCACCATCTGCTGTAGCCAGGCGTAGCATCGCTCAATATGTAGGTTACCCTTCAACCCCAAGCACTCAGCGTCCGTGATGGCCGAGTGGTTGTCCACACGAAGGACAGTCAACGTCCCAGCGTCGAGCAGCTGGAACTCTGCAAGGAGGAAGCGAAGTCGACCAGCCTCCTTGCCGACTTCCGTGGCCGCGACGTACCCCGACGCGTTCGACGAGAGCGTCACGCACTCTATGCGCTGGCTCGACCAGGAGATTGCGGCCCTTCCGAAGATGAAAACATAGCCGCTGTGCTTGTTCGGTTCTGCTTGTCGCCAACGTCGTCGGCCTCCACGTAGCTGACCAGACACAACGACTCTGGTCCACCGTCAAAATGTGGAAAAATTGTTACGTTTAACACGCAACAGACCATTATGGCTGGTGCTAGGCTCCTTAGCATCACAACTGTTACTGTGGGTGCAGCTCCTGCTGCTGTTGTTCTCACAACTCTTGTTGCTGCAGTTTGCATAAGCTGTTGCTGTGGCTGATTACTTTGCAGCAAATTCTGCTAGGAGTGGGACGTGTGATGGAGATGACAATCCCTGAGTTCAACACCAGGCATCTGCATGCACGATGCTGTCTGCAGCTCAAAGGCAGTAGTTTCACACCCCGATGTGGCGACGCCACCACATGCTGATACGTCAGCACCGTTGGGAGCTGACGTGGCAACACAATTATCTGGTGGAAGCATTGAAGCATTGCTTTGAAAAGCTGGTTCATGCATGGCAGGCCGGTGGATACCAGAACTGGCACAAGGGGCGCAACCCCAAGAAGGAATGGTTAAGTCAGGGTCAGAAATAACATCAGTCCTAAGAAAGACATCAGCTTCAGTAGTGGTCACAACAACGCCATTGCTGATAAACACCAAGCCCATCGGTCGGAACACTTGAGTCAGCTGCGCGAGCAGCAGAAAGAGAATGTAACCCCGCTGGCAGCGCAGAAGGACTAGCAGTGGGATGAAGGCCTGAGTATGCTGCTTCACTGTAGCTGCATGGTGACTTCAGAGTCGACTCAAAAGAAGGACTAGCAGCTGGACGAAGGCCTGTGTATGCTGCTTCACTGTAGCTTTTTGCCCTGTTGATGTAGGTGATAATCTTCTCACCCTTCTCCATGCTCAGCATCAGCAGTTTCTTCCTCACTGCCTTCTTGTTGGTATCATTGGTGCCAATGTAGGTAGACTCCAAGTACTCCCACGCTCGTTGTGCCGAATTCAGCTCCCCTGAAAATTGGGCCATTTCAACAGCAATACTATCAGCAACCGAATGTCAAAGTTGAAGGAACACTTACTTGCTTTGCTTCTTAACCAACGCCAACTTCTCCGGTGACGCCGTCATGGGAGGTGCAACTCCCTCCTTCGTCTCCTCATCAGGACAGTAGAACGGTAAGAGCTCAACCCCCTTTGCCCGTCGGATGAACTTCTTCCTCCACACGTTGTAGTTGCTTCCGTTGAAGCGCTGGGCTTCACTGAGCCCGATCGTCGATTTCGTCACCACGCGGACACTTGCAAGTGCCTCGAGAAGAGCTTTCATTTGCGGGTCTCCAATACTCACGTTGGAACCCGAACTCGCCTCGTCCCCCATGGCGTATGCTTGAAGTTGCTCTTCTTCTTCCACTTAGGGCGTATTCCTGAGCTCGTGTCATCTGAGCTTCGTGTCATCCCGATTTTTTTTTCCGAACCGCGGGTTTTCCGACTCGACTTCTGGTCATCCGATTCGGCGTGTCACAAAAATCACACGGCAGCTGCGCGAAACCACGTTCGCCCCAGCAGAGAACATTGTTCATCGCACGTGCGACCGAGTCGACACCGCGACCAATTTGGCCGTCAGTTCGTGCACTCGAAACGCAGCCCCTCATGCACGAATAGCCTACACAACCAAGCCACACCTTGCAAGTCTAGAATCTTGATTCTCTCGGTGGAAAACTTCCACCTTTCAAGCCAGTTTGGATGCTAGCTATAAAAATAGTCTAGCAAGTAGTACCAAAACAGAGACTTCAGAAGTTATTCCTTCTTGTCAAAATGCTATCTCCTCAGCATCTAACCATCCTAGCCTGTGTTATTCAGCTCTAGCACACTTATTACTATGACAGTTTCATGCCTGCAGCAGCAGCTGCAGCTCAGTCATGGCTGTCACTGGTGGAGGAAGAATGTGCAGGCGACGACGAAACTGCTGACCGTCGCATTGAGAGGCTCCGCCTTCGCAAACTCCGGCGTCAGGACCGCATGGCAGAATGGATCTCCGACATCAACATCATGTCAGATGCGGAATCTCAAGACATATTCCGTATCAACAAGAACATTCTCCTCATGATTGAAGGGAGAATGGAGGCGGTCTACGCTCCTTTTGTTCGTCAGCACAATGTCCCCCTACGCTTGTGCATCCTGATCCCTATTAAGTACTTCGCGTCAGCATTATCCTACTCTGACATGTCCATTTTTTTTTGTGTGTCGAAAACAATGTGCCATAGATTGGTGGACACCTTCCTCATTCACTTCCCACGCCATTTCAAATCCAAGTGGGTACGTTTCCCCGCGCCAGAGGAGCTACCGGTGATGGCAGAGGAGTTCCGGAACATTAAAGGTGTGCCCAACGTGGTTGGAGCGGTGGACGGCACTCATATCCAAGTGCGGGGAATGGAGAATCATCGCACTGAATACTACAACAGGAAGTCACACTATTCAGTCCAACTTCAGGTGACCTGTGACGCTAAAGGTGTCATATGGGATTATATGGTCGGCTATCCGGGCGCAGCTCACGATTACAGAGTGTTTATGAAGAGCAAGCTGTATGATCAACTAGAGAAAGGAGACATACAGGAGTACCAATTGGTTGGAGATGCTGCCTATCCGCTACGAGCATACTGCCTCACCCCCCTACATGCTCCTAGGCGACGACTGTTCAAGAGATGGGAGCAACTGTTCAACTACGTTCAATCTGCTACGAGGATGCCGGTGGAGAGATGCATTGGGGCCCTTAAGGGGCGTTGGCGATTGTTTGCGCGAAGACACGACTGCCGTCTCTGGAGGGTTTGTGCAGAAACAGGTTGCATCATCATACTCCGTAATATGGTGCAGAAGATGATGCAGCTGCGCCTGCGCAGTAAGAAGTTAGCACGCGGCATGCAGGAAGGGGGGGGGGGCTGGTTGGTGGACAAGGGGAGGGATGAGTAGGTTTCACTGGCCGTTGCTAAGGAGTGCAACAGCAAAGGAGCTTCAGCGACGCCGCAAGTATTTCGGGAAGTGGATTATGAGAGCTTACCTGCGACGCAACCGTGCTGCTACTGCTGGAACTCAGCGGCCTCGCCGTTAGTGGGACCCATGTCGGTAGGAGCGGCGGTCTCTTCCGAGCTTGGGGTGTAGGTGTAATCCGTGTTACATGTTTCCGGGCTGGTCGGATCACCATGGTCTAGGGTCACAGTGAGAGTGGTAGGGTCAGCCTGTCCCACATTTGCCGCTGCCACCTCTGGAGCCGCTGAAGCCGCCGCCACAGCATTCATGATGAGAGCAGTAATCTGGTCCAGCTTAGCAAGGCCTTCCTGGTTACATGCCTTCAGGGTGTCCGCGATGAGCTTCGCCCCAGTCATGGTCGCACTTTCTGCCACGCGCTTGCTACGAATCGGCTGCGGATTCTGCTCCTGAGTAGGGGGGAGTGGGGCTGTAGGTAAAAGGGTGACAAGCACAGAGGAACCTTAGGCATGGGATTTTAGATGGTCCGAATCTTAGCATGGTTATTTTGCTGTTTCGGGATTGATGGAATCAGTGTCAAAGCGACTGATGGTACTTGGAGAATGTAGGATATCTTCAATGTTGGAATGCATCAAGGAAGCATTTAAGCACAAAACATGAGACAAAGGCGAACTAAATTGTTGTATCATGTGCAGATATAGAAACTTACCCCTACTAGCTCACCTTGAACCACGGGCACTTGCTGAGTAGCTGCCGCAGTGGATGGAGGCTCCATGGTCGCGTTAGGATCAGCATGGTCCTCGGCGGCGCCACTGCCATCCACAACATGGGGGCAGCAGATCCCGCCCTCAGATCTTCCATATAGGTAAACCACGGCGGCCTGACGATGTTGGCGTTGCCTGACACGTTCAAAGCATCGTTGATCTCCTTGAATTCGCGCTCCATCCGCTTCCACTGCTGCTTCATGGCCTCCGATTTGCGAACCCAATTCTTGTTCGCCTTGCGGATGTGCCTACGGAGCTTCTTCCAATACTGTGCCCCCTGTTTCCCTTGCATTGCCTTCAAATCTTCACGCGTGAACCAACGAGCGACGGCCATCTCTGTCATCTCGAGTTCTGACCAGACCTTGCGTTTCTTCTTAGGACGCTCCCCTCTACGCTTCGGGGCGGAGGTTCCGATGTCATCCGCAGCCACAGGCCCTTCGCCCGCGATTTCGTTGTCCTCGTCGGCTCCATCGAAGTCGTTTTCTGGTGTGTCGAGCGAAGCATCGGAATCTGCCTCGCTGTCGCTACTTTCAAACGCGTCGAACTCCTCCGGATCAGAAGACGAGGAGGCTTCATTGTCCTCAGCCGGAGCCTTGCTTGGCTGATTGTCCGGGTCGCCGAAGGGTTCCCCGTCACGAGCCTCAGCACACTCGCTGCGAAGGCGTCCCCGCCGATCTCCTTCCGCCTGGCGCTTCTTCATCCAGGCAACATACGGAGGGTCCACCACGGGAGCGTCACTGCCAGATGCCATACCCTTCTTAGAAGCTTTGCTGAGTCTACGCTTAGGAGCCATGGTAAACTGGCAGGAGTGGGAAAGGGAGACTGAGCAACGAGTGGATGAGACTGTTGTAGAGAGAGTGATATGATGGTATGGCTTTTGACGGTTGTGTTTATAGTAGTCTTGGTGCTGGTGTCGTGGCGCGATCTACATTTCTGCTCGCCTGGAGGAGGAGTCCTCGCGAGATCTACAACTCTGCTCAAGTTTAGGAGAACGAACGGATCTCAAGATACGCGCCATTTTTCGTGGTCGCTAGACATGGGACAAAGCGGTGGTGCAGTAGTGGCGGGAGTTTCTTCTAATTCTAGAGCCATGAATCCCTGAATCGTCAGATCCGCCACAAATGTGAAGTGGTTGTGTGATGAGAAAGAATGCAGAAGAGCAGCAGTGGCGGGAATGTCTGCAGGTAGAAAGGTCGAGAAGCAACACAAAATCTGAGCGACCACCTTGTGAGGTGGTTGTTTGCTAGGAAGAGAGTGCAAGAATTCAGCAGTGGCGGGAGAAAACGATGTGGAAAATTGACGCGCCCAAATTTCCGACATTGACGTTTGTCAGTCAATGTGCTCTTGTGCGACCGTTTGCACTGTCGGGCACAATATTCGCATCTCATGGCCAGCGATGTTGGCTGACCAATGGTATGATCGGCGAACTGGGCGAGTTATGGTTTCTCTCGCAAAATGTGACCCCCCAAATCGCGCGCCAGGTCGAGTCGTTGACTCGAGCTGTTGTATTGCAGCTCGTGTCATCCCACAATCTCGGAAGACACAAACACGGGATGACACGAGCCCCAGAATACGCCCTTAGCGACGAGTAGTGCACGCCCGTTCTCCACGACGAGTAGTGCACGCCCGTTCTCCAAGCTCTGATACCAGTTGTTAGGATCATTGATGCCTGTCGAAAAAAATCTGCTTGCTAAAGCCGATTGTGTTCTCCTTGTTCTCACGATTCCAACGATATGCACAGCATTTAATTCTGTCAATGTTTCACTAATTTTCAGCCCCACCAACGCTTGACTAGCGCTTCACTAGCGCTTTGCGGAGGAATTCGGTTCGCGATTCCTTCACATAGAAATTCGCGTCGCTAGTGCCTCGCGGGGCCTTCGCGAATGCTTTCGTGGTGATTTGACGGGAGATTTCACTGAGCAATCATAAATGTGCACTACTGGACTTGAACCTTGCCCTTCAATGGGATTCTATAAAGGTTGTGTCCAAAATCCAGAAACTTTTGAACCATGCCATCTTTTCAACCCAACTTCTTGTGAAACCATTCTTCTCTTCCCGTCACTTCTACTACTCCATCTCTCACGTTTCTTCCTATCTTCGATTCCCGTAGCCCATGTCGTAGATCTCACACACATAGTAACTTAGATATTTTCCTAGCTTCTTCGTATAGCGTTTCCACACGCCACCGCCATAATGCCGCCGTCGGTCCGGATTTCCGTCGTCGTTTATTTTAATTCGCGGAACCATCTCCAACATCCTCTGGTACGTGGTTGACTTCATTAGAGTCTTGATTCGGGTGTGGCCCGGTCCTCGTTTGGGCGGAGCCGACTTCTTGGTCGGGTGTGAGGGGGCGCCGACTTCGGGGAGGTCGACTAGGGAGGTCGACCTGTGTAGGGCGTCGACTTGGCGACGCCGACCTGGAGAAGCCGACTTGGGTGGTCGGCTGACAACCGTGCTGATCGACGTAGAGCTGGTCGACCAGGAGTGACGTCGACCAGGAGCTGGTCGACCAAGGGTGTGGTCGACCTGGCGAGGTCGACTGGAGGTGGTCGTCGACTTGGGAGGTCGACGGGCACGCGAAGGAGCAGCTGGTCGACGTGGTTGCCCGGTCGACCAGGTTACCTGGGTGACGAGGTCCTGCGGAGGAGTGAGACGGTCGCCCAGGTGGTCTTTGGCGAGACCGACCTTGGTGGTGGTATCCCGAGGTCGACGTGGCAGAGCAGATGCAGTCGTCAGCATGGAGACGATATGGTGTGTGTGCTGTGCAGGTGATGAGGCACAGCACGCCAATCATCTGCGAGCACCTGCGAAGCTGGTGCAATGCTGTACTGCGGGAGCAACGCTGGCCGCCGTCGACTTGTGGTGTTGGCACGCCGTCGACCTGCAGAGTTGGCAAGCCGCGACTCTGCACTGCTGGAGCGCAGTCGACCAAGTCGTGCTGGCACGCGGTCGACAATGCTGCGCTGGCAGTCGACCTGCTTGCATCCTAGCTCTAATGTAGTCTAGTCTTGCCATCTTGTGTGCATCGTTGCTGTCATGTTTTCCTAGTGAAACTCTTGCCAATTTCTCCCGTGAACTAGCAAGTAGCGTGTGCACAAGGAAACGACTAAGGAATGAACACAGAGATCACACGAGCATCCGTGCCTAGCCCGTAGTCTAGCTCCCGTTAAACGAGTTATCTCCACAAGTCTGAACTGTGAAGTGAAGATGCGGCGACTCGGAAAGTCAACTTTTTATAGTACTACTCAGGATCCCGAGTCACTGGATTCAGATTGAGGCGAGAGATGGCATCAGACCTGAGATATTTGAGATGCATGATGATGATAATGATGATGATGATGATGATGATGATGATGATGATGATGATGATGATGATGATGATGATGATGATGATGATGATGATGATGATGATGATGATGATGATGATGATGATGATGATGAACGGAGGCACTCAACCCTTACGTGTAAGGTCCACATGAGCTACATGAAAGGCTTCTGGGACCGTCAATCTGGTGAGCAAATGCCCCTAACGAGTCGAAGTCCTATGCAGACCATTCATTGTGGACATGCGTGCACGCATTAATGTACATACGCGGTTCGCGAGAGTACACGTTCTAACAAGCGTGTTGTACGGGGACTAAACGAATTCTTCTGACCTAATATTGTAAATCAGAGCGCAGGTGCGATTAGCAACCCCCTCCATGTGCAGCTACAGGCCAAAGCGCAAGCATGTGCGCGTACGAAGGTGACACTGTGGAACCATGATAGATAATACACTGTAAATATAGGAGCAACAGCAATGCTGCGTACTGTAAGAGAAAGGAACGCCAAAGCTCGCACAGTAAAATAGCAATTCTCCGCAAGACACCACAGGCTTGCTCCCTGATTTTTTTGTAAGAGGGTGTCTCAATTCCCCCTCAGGCACTCCGCTCCGCTCTGCTCCCACTGCACCACAACAGCCCTCCGTTCACCAGGCACTCTGGCTCGGCATCGGCTCGGGAATCAGGGTTCCGTGAAGCGCCAAGGAATGATCTGATTAGGTGTAGGGACTCGGCCCCAAAAAGGGATGTTTCGGACTACATCCTCATTTGCGATACAATGGAACCATTATACTCATGCAAACCTAGGACCTCATGCAGTGCTTTGCATCATAGAGAACTTTATCTCATCTCCTGATCAATCAGATAAAAATAGGATCAATATTGTCGCAACCAGGGCTAATTTTATCAGTGTAAATCACCCTGATACACTGATAATCAGGGTGGTTTTTGGTAGTCACACTGATGCCTTAGGGTAATTTTTTCTGGAGCTTAGATTTTCCTGATATGTCAGGGTTTTTGTTTAAGGCACACTGTCGCCCCAGGGTTAGAGTTCTTCTTAGCGAGTTTTACCCTGAAGCGAATACCACCCCCCCCCCCCCCCCCCCCCCCCCCCCCACTCTCCCCCCCCTCCCAACCCGCCCCCGCACTTGCCCTGGTGAGTATTGTATAAAAAAAAAATGTTACTTTGCACTTACGTTGAAGTGGACCAGTCAGTAGATTGGTTTTCGGAAAGATAAAGTCCTGCGTTTCCAGGGGTTGACTTTGTTGTTCAGAACTTGAGTAGAAATCAGAACTTCTGTAGAAACACTTCGTCAGGGTTCTAGAAAATGTTACACTGTGGCTTCAGGGTATTTTGGAAACTATGGAAAACCCTGATGGAAAAGAATTTCCCCAAGGGGTCACACTGATAATCAGGGTTTTGCAAAGGTGCAGGACTGATAATAAGGGTTGCTTAAAACCGAAAATTAGACCTGGTCGCAACCCTGCGCAGCAAGTGTGCACATCAGTTCTGGGTTGTCATTTTTTGGGGTAGTGACTTGGCACATGCTGATGTCTTCCTTAGCCAAGCACAGCTCCTCCAACAACACATCAGCAACAGAAGCTCCCAAACGTTCTCCCACATCGACCGACTCATCATACGGTAATGGCCCGACCACAGAGCAACTCAAACTGCTCATGCTGCCACCGCTGCTGGTAGTGCTGCTACGTCGAACGATTTGATCGCACATCAAAGCGTTGGTGTAATCATTACGAGTAACACCCAATAGACCATCATGGCAAGTGTCAGGTCCCTTCACATCGCTGCTGTTACTGTGGGTGCAGCTCCTGCTGCTGCTACTGTCGTTGCAGATCCTGCTGCTGGCTCCACCCTCCACCATGCAAGCTGCCACTTTGACCAGATCAGTTTGCTGAAGCTGCTGCTGTGGCTGATAGCGCTGCAAATACTGCTGGGAGTGGGACGTGTGCTGCAGGCGACAATCCCTGAGTTCCACTCTTGGCATCTGCATCCACGATGCTGACTGCTGCTGGAGGGCAGTGTTTGAGAAGAAACGAGGAATGGAATGACTAAGGGAAAGTTGGGTACAAAATGCAAACCCTAGAAAACTGTACCCCATATGTGCTACCCCACTATAGCCTACAGTAGCTCTGTCATATAAATCTGACACACCCCCATAGGCAAAGTGGGGGAGAACAAGGGGTCACAAGACCAGTCAAGCAAAGCAAAGCAAGCTCAGGGTGGATCACAAAGTCACCACACATTCCGAGCACAGGTTCAAGGCCACAAGGCCAGTTCACATGCAGGATTACATATATATATAAGGCTAGACAAGCAAGAGCAGGTGTATATATATATGCAACAGTACAAACAAGGTCAAGGGGTGAGCAAGTGAGGCAAGGTAGGCACAAGGCCCAGCTGAGTACAGAAACGCTGATGATCACAAGGCGCAAGTGCCTTGGTGAAGATATCAGC